GAGTGGGTGCCAAGAGGCGAGCAGAATGTGAGGGCTCTGCCATTCCACGGACAGTGGGGCTCCCGGTCAGCCGTGCAGATTAGCGGAGCCAGGAGAGCCCTCAGTCCTTAACCCCTGAGGGTCAAGCGCCCCAGGGAGAGGGTCTTGTCACCATTCAGGGCACAGAGCAGAGATGTGACACACTCCTACCATCCCTCACCCCAATCCCCAGGCCCTCCAGGCCTCCTGCCCTTCCAGACAGACTGTGCATCACAAATGTACACCTGTCCCCCTCACAGGTTCACAGCCTGCTTTTTTCAGTTAACGTTTTAGAAATCCTTATCATTATCTGCAGAGGTGCCTCATCTTTTGAACGGTTGTATAATATGCCCTTTTATGGATCCACCATGACTTTTTCTAGAATCCCCTGTCGACTGAAATAAAGAGTCTAGATAAAGGTTAAATGAAGGAGTTTATTTGATAATAAAAGTGAGGAACTTGGGTCCCGGGAAACAGTCCAACAGACTATTCTGAAGAACTGCTTCAAGATCTACTGATCTGAGTGCAGTTATATACTTTTTAACAAAGCAGTGCACATGCAGGAAAGGGCTTACACATCTAATAATAATATACTTCAAAGATAACTCAAGAACTTTTTGGTTATTCATCAAACAAGGCTTGGAATGTTGGTGTAATCTATGTGTTGAGGGAGGCAAGGACGAGGGTCATTCATTTTCCCCTCAATCTCTGAGAAATGCAGCTGGGGAATGTGAGAGCGAGGCACCATTTACCTGTTCCTGCTGCTAATGTCTCCAGCTGACGTCTGGCCTGAGGTGTGGGGTTGCAAGTCTCCAATCATGAAGTGTGGTGTTGTAAAGTCATTCTAACAGAGGCTTAAGATGGCCTGCACGGCCTCGGGAATTTATGTACTGACTTTAAGTCTATACAGCTCACTTGCTAGATTCGCCTGTTAGACCAGCGAGAGGGACCACAAACGTTTGTTCACAATCCTCCCTTTTGGTCGTCATCAACCCACGGTTTTGTTCGTGACAAGGAGGCGCTCCTTTGGTTTTTCTCTGACACGGTGGAGTGCCTCTCATTTCCTTACCTATCTTACAAGTCATTCACTACAAATGCACTCTGGATCGCGCCTACCTTCCTAGCTAACATGAGCCAGGCCTTGTTGTGTTGTTGTCTCCTTTGACACCTAGCACAAAGTCAGACTAACATGGTAATTAATACAGTCAAAATTACAATTCTGAATACAGTTTTTATAATATCAATGTTAGTAGATGAACAAGAAAGACAAGAAAACTATCCAATGAATTCCAAACAGATGTTGGCATATTTTTGAACTAACTGGATAATTCTTTTCCCTCCTTTATCTGCAGTTGTACTTTATGAGAAGTCTCCTCGGGCTGCTGAAGTGCATCTTGTACTTCTTGAGAAGCCAAATCTAACGTTTCCTCAGGCCATTCATTTTCCATGATCTTAACTTCAGCTGGGGGTCTTAGTTCCAGCTTGCAATAGGCATAATTTTCTTTGTCTGTATTATCATAAGTCTTATTAACCTCTGGAAGATAAATCTTTCCTATAATTTCTATATTACACCAAACACCTGAACTGTTCATCTTAAATTCAGTTTGGTTGCAATAGTGATCTGATAGTTGAACAGTATGGTTTCTTATTCCCTCCCAGCAAAATCGTCCCCTTCCCATAGACCATATGTTGTTTTAGACAGGAGTTTTTATCACAGGCCAAGTAAGAGTTATTTCTGAATTCCACTGTTCCTGGGGGCATAGCTGTATCCTTTTACGTTGTTCACAACCTAGAACTGAGATAGGTTCCCATCGTGGTGTCGTTTCGTTTTGGGCAAGAAGGGCCCCCCAGCTCCCTACAGGAAGTACCTGGTAGTTGTAGTGGATAATCTTCATCCCCACAGGTTGTACCACCTGATGTTTTTCGTTAGGCCATAGTCGAGGCTCTAGAGCCATCAGGGAACACGGTGCAGGTGGCAGGTTCCTTCAATTATTTCCCATAGGTTTACATGCAGGAGGGCAAGTTTTCTTCACTGCACTTAGTTTTAGTTTTTAAAAATTTCATACCTCTGCAATTAGTAGACCTATGAAACTTTATCATTCTGTTTGAATTTCATTAAATGTAATACTTCTATTTTTGAATTGCATTACTTACCCTGACAGACTTTCCATTCAGTTCTGCTGTTTGTTTCTGCTATTATTTAAAATGGATCTAAGGATTTAAATAGGTTTTCAAAGTTTATTTCAATATCTCCCTCAAATTCTACCTCATTTGTCTAATAGACATCTAAAACAGAATATGTTCAAAAATGAGGTCCTACTGGTTCCTCCAAACTTCCTCCACTGCAGTCTTGAAATCTCAGCCCATAGCAAATCCATCCTTCTGGCTGCCTGGGACAAAGTTTGGAGTCACCCTCATCTCCTGATGTATTGTGAACCATCGAGGCTGCTCTTTGACAGGGAGCAGGAAAGGGGAGTAAGGAGAAAGGGACCAATCTCTGACCTTCTGTAAGACCTGGGTTGGATTCGCCTGAGCCTGTGCCACCTGCCCAGCTTGCCGCCTCTCATGGCCCACTCTGACCACGGGCTTCTGTGGTGGCGCTGGCGCTGAAGACCGGGGCAGGTAAGTGGAGGGTTTCCCGGGCTGCCTCACTGAGACCCTCACCCCTCCCACAGGTCCTTAGTGCCCTAATATAGATGACGTTTTTTCCTGTACACTTTGTCTTCCTCTCTTCCTGATGTTGAGTCTGGGGTCACTCAACATCAGGAAGTCACTCCTGGAGTGACCCTCCAGGGGTCACTCCCACCCTAAAGTCCTGAATCCAGGCCAGGGATTATATGGGGAGTTCACACTACAGGAATCCAATGGGATGCAGTGTGGAAGGGTGAAATGTGGCTTCTCAGAATCCCACTGACCCCGTGCCATCTGCTTGGATGGAACCACAGGGAGAAGGGGAGCTGCTGAGTCCAGAAACTCCAGTGTGGATTTGGCTGAGCCCTTCCCCAGGGCTGTGACCTGGAGCAAGTCCCACTGCTCCCCTTGGTCTCCATTTCCTTGGGGGGTAAAGTGGGAATACTAACAATCCCCCTCTCTGAGTGGAGGAGAACAGAGAGGGCACATGTGAGGGTGTGTCCCCCTGTGCCAGCATGGCCAAGGGAACATTGCTCCGGACACTGCTATAGTGAGATGCATATCTGGGCTTGCAATGATCTTAGAGGCTCATCTCAGTGGGAGTCTGGCCCTTGGGCCTCCCTTCCCTTTGGGCTCCACACAGCTAAGGGCTGGGGCAGAGGAAGGGTTGAATTTGTGGGCAAAGATGGGTGGGAGTAGCGTTTTGAGAATTGCCACTCCTCTGCTAGGTCAGAGACGGTTGCAGGACAGACTGGGAACCAAGAATGTCACTGGGTTTATCTTTGCAGTTGTTGTCTATTTATCAGCAACAGGAACCGGATTCTAACAGAGAATTCATTTTCCTGATGAAGACAATGACTTGTATTTGGAAAGCGATCCATTCAACTGTCCAGTGACGACAGTGTACAGAAATGAGGTGTCCCTTTATTTATTTATTTATTTTTGTGAGGAAGATCAGCCCTGAGCTAACATCCGTGCTAATCCTCCTCTTTTTGCTGAGGAAGACTGGCTCTGAGCAACATCTATTGCCAATCCTCCTCCTTTTTTTTTCCCCCCCAAAACCCCAGTAGATAGCTGTACGTCATAGTTGCACATCCTTCTAGTTGCTGTATGTGGGACGCGGCCTCAGCATGGCCGGAGAAGCGGTGCGTTGATGCGCGCCTGGGATCCGAACCCAGGCCGCCTGTGGTGGAGCGCGCGCACTTAACCGCTAAGCCACGGGGCCAGCCCATGAGGTGTTCCTTTAGATGTAAGTGCCCAAGAGGCCCTGTGTTTCTCTCATTGTACCCTACTTACTGGCGTGACTTGAATACTTTATTCATTTGTCATCCACATGGCTCTCTTCTTCACTTCATTCCAGACTCAGTCCAATATCCCCTCCTCTGAGAGCCCTTCTTGGGTTGCCCCATCTAAAGTCGCCCTAAACTCTCTGGTCTCCTCACGCTCTTCTGTTTTTGTTTTTCTTGGGATCCTTAGGGGCATTTTACATTCTCTTGATCATTTACTTGGTTCCTTTGTGAGGATGTGCCTCCATCCCTGGAACATGAGCTCCTCTTCACTTTGCCCCAAAATTGCCTCTTTGACATACATTTATTTTAAACTAAAGGCAATTAAAAACAGCAAACACAAGAAAAGCACTCTGTTCTCCCCCTATTTGCCTAAAAGCAGTTCATAAATTTACAAAGGACAAAAGTTAATCACCAGAAACAACTTCAGACTCCCATCAGCCTGGAGACAGCACCAGAGGAATTTACATAAACTCTACCAAAGCCTTTATCCAGCATTACTTTCCCATATTAATTGCCGCCCCTAGAGACTCAAGATACTTTTCCTTTGTCTTTGTTACCTCTTTTATATGTATTGTTCTTTGTAGAAGATGTTATATAAGACTCAATTCTAAACCACCTCTGAGTTCCTCAATTCTGACTCTATCATGTATACATGAGATGTACGTGTTAATGAACTTCTGTTCGCTTTTCTCTTGGTGTAGTCTTTTGTTACAGAGCCTGAGCGAAGAAGGTAAGAACAGGGTAGAGGGAAAAATTTTCCTTTCCAGTATCTCAAAATACTTTACTGATGAGCTGCAGACAACACTCCCCTGCAGGCAGCCCTCGGCCCCTTTAAGAAGGAATGACCCTCTCCCACGTCCTTGATGCCCGGATGTTATTTCCCAGCGCCCCTCACAGTGCCCAGGAACGTTTCTCCTTAACGTCTAGCTAAGGAACGCCCCGAGCTGTGGGCATCTGGAGTCCTGGGAACTACATTACCCAGAACACACTGCACTGAAGGACGGCTGCGTTGCTCCAATGAAAGAGCAAAACAGGGACATTTCCGTGCCTATGAAGCTTTACGGGAGGGACTTCCGGCGCCCCTTTTCTGAGAGTTACTGCGGTTTCTGTGCGTTCGGTTCGCGCGGACGGAGGCTTCCGGGTGCTGGGTGGGGCCTGTGGTGTCGGGACCGAGGAGGCGCGAGAGGAGGCGCTGTCTCCGCTGCACGGGGCGGGTCTGAGGCTCGGCGACGCCGCCCGGGGGACCCGCGCCAGGGCCGGGACAGGGACCGCTGTCCCCGGGACCCCTCCTCTCCCGCCGCTCCCGGCTCCGCTCCGCCCCCAGAGTCGATGGCGGCGGCCGCGCGGAGGGAGCCGGCTCAGGTCAGTGCTCGTGCTCCGCGCCCTCCCCGCCCTCAGCCCAGCCCAGCCCTAGAGCCCCGAGTGCGGACGCCGCTCACGGGCCTGCAGTCCAGGCCCCGGTGTCCGGGACGGGGAGGGGCTTGTGGGGCCTGTTTCTGAGAGCCGGGGTGACGAGTGTGGGAGAGGGTCCCAGGCGGAGGGCCACTGAGCGGGGAGGAGTCGGGAACGGAGTGTTGTATCTGAAAGGAACAGAGAGTTGGGCGTCAGGCCTGGGCTGTCAGGCTGAGGGTTGTACTTTTCTTCTCAGGATGCTGTGGGTCACAGAGGGTTGTGAACAGAAGAGGGAGAAGATGGATCTGAGTTAGAGATTTAAAAGTTTTTCAAGCGCTGCTCAGAGGAGAGCAGATGGGAGGCGGCATGATAACAGCGAGGCACAGGGAGGTTGAGTCCTTGACGAGGCCACACAGCTGGTAAGAGTGAGCACTGAGGACTGAGCCCTGCTGATAATACAGTCATTCCACGATCTCCTGGCGCCAGGACTGGGCAGTGGCTACAGGATGGAGCCGGCCATGGTTGCTAGCCTCTCAAGAACTCCCTCATCCCACAGATTCACATGAGTACAGAAGCTCTTATGGACCCTACGCAGGTGACTGGAGGGTGTCCCCAACCCTTCCAAATTCTGACCCCACCCAGGTGATTTCTTGGATTGTGGTGTCCTGGAACATTTCCCCGGCCATTTTCCAAACCTTAGACATGGGGACCCAGAACAGACCCCATCCCCGGGTGGTCAGTCCAGGCCACAGTTTACATGGAAGGGTTCCTGTTGTGGGCCATCAATAGAATGAGGTGTGGAAGGTTGCACAAGCCTAGGTACCAGTATGTGCAAAGGTTGGAGGCGACGCTAAGCTAGGAGTACTGAGGGAAGCGCAGGTCTCTTCATTCTCAAGGGAACTGAGAGCAAGGGGGCAGGAGTCAGGTCTGGAATGGCTCCCTGAGAGGTGGGGTGTCCATTTTGGAGGTGATGAAGCAATGGGAGATTCAGAGGAGAGGAGGGAGGTGATCAGACCCAGCTCTCCGGCTCCCTGTGGCTGCAGCTGGAGAGCAAGAGGAGTGTGCACGTGAGGGAGGAGATAGGAGACCAGGGAGGAGGCTGCTGCAGGAGTCCGGGTGAGTGTTGATGGGGTGGACCATGTGGTGGCCATTGAGGTGCTAGAAATGGTGGGAGGCTGGATATATTTTTTTTAGCAGGTCAGCTCAGGTTTTCTGATTTTGAGTATGAGGGAGAGAAAGGTAGTGAGCGATGATTGCAAGATTTTTGGGTTTAGAAGCTGAAGGATGGAAGGGCCATCAGCTGAGATGGGGAAGTTGGTAATGGGAGTAATTTTCACTGGGGATATCAGGAGTTTTGATTTTGGCCACGTTAAGAGTATGAGGTGTTTCAGGGAACAATTAGTGGAGGCTGAAGTGGGCAGCTGGGCATACAGGTCTGGTACTCTGGGGAGGGGTTCAGGATGGAGACCTCTCCAAAAGGTGGGGGACAGTGTGTGGACCAGGGTGGAGCCTTGGGTCGCATTTATAGAGAGGAAACCTGGTCATGATGGTGCTGCTAATAGCAGCCCAGGGAGGGGAGCGTAGGGGCTGAGAAGTGGATCTCTTGCTTGGGCTTCTGGGTGGGAGTGTTGGGTGTCACAAACACTGGTTAGGGAGAGAAGTGGCCATGGGAACAGTGTGGGGAAGTGGGTGATGTGGCAGGTGGCCAGGGCTTTTGAGGGTTGCGTGCACGTGATTGGATGTGGAGGCACGGGAGTAATTGAGGGCAGATGACAGTGAGGCAGGACTATTGCTTATTCACTGCTCTGTGCAATCTCTAGGACTTTGTCGGGACCTTGGTGTGTTTGGGGTGTTTCATTCAGGCTGACAGATTAGCTCAGGGGCGCATTTGGTCATGGGGGAGAGTCACTGGGCCTGAGGTGGAGGGCTGTCGAGGCTGGGTTTTGAATGAGTGTTAGGAGGAGAGACAAAGGCTTTGACTGGTGAGGGGACATCGAGTGCAGACAAGTGGAAGGCAGCCATGGCAGTTTTGGGTGGCTGAGGTTGAAGCAAGAAAGCGAGGCAGGCGGGGAACCTTCATAGCAGGAATCAGAGCTGCCTTTCATGGTGGGGAGTATCTGATGTCTGGGGTAACTGGATCCAGTTTGAATTTGCTAAGGATTCTCGAATGTCTTGTGCGAGGACAGTGTTATGTGTCTTGTGTGTAACGTGGGGAGCCCAGAGAGGAGCCTTGGTGTGAGGTGAGAAGGTGGAAGTGGCTTTGTTGGGGCAGCTGTGTGAGGGAGGTGTGCTCGAGAGAGTGATGTGCATGTGGAGAGGGAATGAGAACTGATGGCCCCAGGGCCCTGGCATTGAGGACATCAGGGTGGTGGTTAAGCCCAAATTTGGTTGTGTGTTGTAAACACAATCTGGAGCAACCCAGGGGAATTGCCTGACGAGGCGCGTGGCCCTGCTCGCCAGGCCTCAAGCTTATATATCACGTATCTGCCCACCTGCCCGTTGTTGCTGTGGGCTGACACAGTGATCAGTGGGACCATGAGGAGAGAGCAGGGCCCACTGGCACCAGAGCCTGGTGTCTGCTGTGTGGACATGTAGGAGGAGAGTGAGCAGGGGATTGATGTATGGAGAGAAGAATGTGGAGTCTGATCATGCAATGATCTGTCCCCATCACGGCTGGGCTATGTATGACCTTTGAGAAGGTGGCCATCGACTTCTCGAGGGTAAATGGGGCTCCTAACAAGGCTTGGAGGCTGCTGTGCTGTGATGTGATGTGGGGGAACTTGGCACTTAGAGCATCCCTGTGTAAGGGCCTCATATCCCTGCCAGTGTCCTAAGCTGCTCTCTGTCTGTCCTCTTTTCCCCTAGAGGTGGCTCTGTCCTTTCCACAGCTGGGCCGTGGGTTCTGCTAACTTCCCCACTTTCTTAGCATGTGTGCTGTGGATGCCAGTGCTGAGCCATGCACTGCCCCAAGCAATGCGTTCCCTGAGCAGCCCTGGCACCTGCTGCTTCACCATGCGTATGGAAGGGTCTGAGAGTCAGAATAATGGGTCTCACCTTGCTTGCGCTCTCCCTGCCTGGGTGACTCTGTCCAGGTCCATGGCATCTGTGTGCCCCAGATTCTACTTCCTGCCTCTAGCTGACGTTTCCTGACGCCTGCCCGTGCCAGGAATTGCAAGCATTGTCATGGTCACTGCTGTAGTTACGTGGACCATGGGCTGTTCTTCCAAGACCTTCCTTTGAGGTTTTGGTAATATTAATTTTCCTGTGTGATGAGTTGCTCTGGGCCGGTGCTGGCCATTCCCGTGTCCTGTCTTTTTTAGGAGTTGCCTCATGCAGGTCCCATAAAGTTGTACTGCTGGGGCTGCTGGGAGAGCCCTGGTTGTCTCAGAGAGTGGACATGGCAAGATGGTCTCAGGAAGCCTGGCCGTGGTGAGTGGCAGCTAGGGGAGGACGTGACAGCAGGGCTGTGTTCAGATCATACCAGGAACCTGCCATGTGTCCACCAGTGTTTTGGTGTGAATGTCACTGGCCACAAATAATTTCTGCTTTTCTTCTCACACTGGGCAATTCGCTGAGCTGTCATTTCATCTGTGACTTCTGACTCCCAGTTAACTCTGTGGCCTCCTTGAGTCACCTGTTCCTCTCCACTGCTCCCTCTGCAATGTTCTCCAGCACTGAGCCACACAGAACGTGTCATGAGGTGTGCACATACCCTTAAATAATCCTTGAATGGCAGCTACTTGGATCCAGTTGAATTTCCTGGGCCTGGACACAGCCACCCCTCTGCCCAGCACCCACGTGTCAGCAGCAGACAAGGTCCTGCTGAAGGCTGTTGGCAGAAGAATGAGCTGGAGACTCTGCCTCTCCTCCTTGTGCTGTACCGCACCCTTAGGTCCTTTGTCTGGTGAGCTGTCCCCTGTTCTGTGGTCTTCAGAGGCCCAGTACCGCTAAGCAGCCCCTTTCTCAACCTGCCCCCAGGCCTGGAATGGAAGGTGAGGAGACAGGTTCTGAGCAGTGCTTCTGTAGAAGTAGAGTCGAAAGGCAGGCCTTCCAATCTCACCTGGGTGAGATTCCTGTGCTGGTCTTGAAAGACGTTCTGCAAGTTCCTGAGCACCAAGCAACATACCCTGGGTGGAATCTGCACTCGGATGGGACATGTACTAGCTCTCACCAGCACCAGAAGCATTGCAGGGCACAGCACCCCTTGAAGAGGGATGTGGACAGGGCCGAGCTTGTGAAGAGCTACAGAATCCACATGTCAGGGAAGCCTTTGACCTCTGGGGAAGTTGGGGAGGACGTCCTGGCCACCTCGGGCCTTCTCCAGCACCAGGCCACTCGCATTGGTGGGAACCACACAGCAGCCTTGAGCTGAGGAGGCCTTTCACAGTGGGACGTGGGGTGAATGTGGGAAAGCTGCCAGCCACAAACACAGTCTCCACATCAGAGTGTCTGCTGTGGAGAAGCCTTCTCTCGCAAATACAGTCGTGTTTAGAATCAGCGAATTCACACTGGAGAAAGGCCATCTGAGTGCACTGAATGTGGAAGTTCTTTACCTGCAACTCCAGTCTCATAAAACGCCAGCGAGTTCACACTGGAGAAAGGCTGTATTAGTCTGGGTAACGTGGGAAATCCTTGAACTACAAATGTGACCACATTCAGTATCAAAGAGTTCACCCTGGAGGAAGGCCCTAGTTGTGCAGTTAATGTGCTGTTTCCTTGTTCAGAGTAAGGACACTGGAGGAGAACCTTTGTGAGGGAGCCTTCTACCTCAGTTAAACCTCATACATCCAAACATCCACAGTAGAGTCCCCAAAAGTTCCCGGTCTGTGGGAAGAGTATGAGGTGTTAGTAAGGAGCTGTGTTATACTTTTTGACCTCCTAAAGGCCCTTACCAGACTTCTATCACTGCCAATTTCTGTGACAGAAGCCATTTTACCTCTACTTCTAGCATGTCCGTGCAGTGTCCAAATGCCCA